TGAGAAACACTGATCTAGATGTATTGGTTTTGCACATTCCTAGGCAGCATGACCAAGGGCATCTGGAGGAAGGTAGCTTGGGGTAGGCAAAGTTAGATAAAAGTAGCTTAATAAAGCCATTACTTCCCACATGGGATACCTATGAGAGAGGCTTATAAAGTGATGTGTGGCATAGGAAAAAGTTGGCTTCCATAATTCCAGGTGTAAGGCTGGATTCACACCTTGTTTTGGTTTATGGTTGTGGTTTCTAAGCCATGATTGGTGCTGTTATGCCTTGTTAAAACCAGATAGTTAATATGCTGTGTACTAATGAAATTAATTGAAAAATTGACACTAGTCTTTGAAATGGCACCATCCACATAAAAGAAGGAGTATCAGAAAGGCTTACGGCAGTGTTTCTCAACCTTGACAACTTTAAGATGGGTGGAGTTCAACTCCCAGAATTCCCCAGCTGGCATTGACGAGTTGAAGTCCACCCATCTTAAAGCTGCCAAGGTTGAGAAACACTGGCTTAGGGGAAGCTGAGAAAAAACTCAGAGCAGGCTTTGCACACTCAATAGCCACAGCATGCTGAGGGTCTGTTAAAAGAGAAATAGGAAGCCAAGTCATGGGGAAAAATGGAACATCTTGGAAGAAGACTAGTGACTCCAGTCCATGTGGCAACATTTTGTTGTAGATTCTGCTTGTATTATGTAACGCTAAACTACTTCTTATCTCCCTCTCTCAGGAGATGCAGGCCACATTGACGAGGTATTTGTCTTCTTTGCCTTCTGATCTGTGCTGGACTATCTAAGAAATGCATAAACTGAAAAATAAAATGAAAGCCGATGAGCAAAACAGTGTGGCCATCAGCTCATAATAAGCACCATTCCTTCTTGAGTGTAATAAGATGGAAGCTGTTCAGCTGCGGTGAGACGGTTAACGCCAGCAGCTGAACAACCCGCTGCCTACAACTCCCCTTTCTGTGGCCCACAGAGGCCCCTCTGATCAGGAATGCACAAAATCAATGGCTGCCATTTTGAGATGGGAAAATCAAATGAAAACTATAGTGTCAACTCATGTGCAAAAACTGTGCACCCTGCTAAACTCTCCCTAAAACCCAGCTCCCCATTTGTCCTAATACTCAGCCCTCCCCAAATGTTCCATGAAAGTTTACCCCTATACCTTCCTGACACATCTTAGGGCAAATGTGACACAAATGGGCCTTGTGGGCCCTTTCCACCCTAGAACCATCCACCTGATCTGCATATGAACGTTTCCTTCCTTTTTCAGGTTAAA